GTACCGCTGAGAATATATGTTAGGCTCCGTATACACTGCATGATGATTGTATTTTACTACTTTTTACTAATATGCAGTTTATTTCAAAAAACAATTACTTTGGTTTTAACACTTCGTTAAGGAAATTAATTAGTATTTTAAAAGGTTTGGTTTGAGATAAATTACACCGACAATTTTCGGACTTTCTCAGTCACTAACAAGAAAATTGTCTTCGACCTACATACTTAATTTTTCTTGCAGAAATTCATTATCTTATTCGATCTCGGAGTATCTGCTAACAACTATTAAACTGAAAGGTTCTCGTGTTATGTATATGGGACCTATTATTATGTACGAAGCAGAACAGGTGTGATGTCCGCGCAAATCCAGTTATCTAACACTGCAGTAACGAGGTGCAGGAGCCACGCGGCGGCCACGCGGGAACACCACGGCACCGCCGAATAGCCCGCGCGTCTATAGCGCGCTGCCACATTCTGATTGCTTCCCACTTCCTACTACAACACACAGTATTTGAAAAACTTTCACATTATTCACATTTATTTTATAATTGTTACAATTTTTCGTTATATCCATTAACAGTTACTATTTTACATGATTTACTCTGTAAAAGTAAAAGCCATCATTCTAAAATTATCTCAAATATTAACAGATAAACGAATGCGGTTGAAGAATCAAATAATATTTAACTAAATGCTCAGTCCTCCTACTCCTCCTTTTTTAGAGATGTTGCATATTTTGTTTTTTAAACTCAATGAATACTGTGTTGTTTCAACTAGTACTATGCAGGTGGGCGCTAGTGCAGCGCGGGCCAAGTGCGCGCTAACTCGATTGCCGCGAGATGACCGTACCCCGCTCCCTCCTCCCAATGTTCCCCCCACAGCTATTGTCTTACTGTTTACTTACTCTAACTCGCTAAATGACGCTCGTCTACATAACAATATTTAAGGCTCTATTTACTAGTTATGTACTGAATAAGTTGTTTACTTAATCGTGTCAATCGAAAAGAAAAAACCAAAGATAACATATTAACTGATATCTGAAAACAAAGGAGGAGGATCTGATAATAAATCTGAACGATTTATTTCTAATCGTCACAAAACCTCATCAGTTTAATGAACCGATATTTAAAATCAAACCATCATCTCCGTGTTTGATATTAAATAAATTGTATCAGAAGTTTACTAAAAGGAAATAAGAAAATGATGAGTCTTGAAACAAAGAGGTTAAGTCATCAAAAGAAGCGGCTCGCCTCTTTGTGTTGATATTAATTGTGGCCGCGTAATGAGACGGGCTTTGTGCGCGGGACAGCGAGACAAGCCACACCATACTCTCGACAACTCTAACATAAATGGTAAACATTTAATTTCATTTGAAAAAAATGTTTTCTCAACATTGTCAGTCATCATTTTTCATAAGTCCTGCTTGTCAGACAGGAATAAAAATAATAAAAATATTGTAGTAAACTGAGACATTAAACAAATTTCAAGGATCGCTAAATTAAGGTAAATCGATGATTAATGACATATATTGATTCCACGTTGGGTATCTAACATTGGGAGATAGCATTATTTAGATTGTGCAGCGAGTGGTGACAACCTCGCAGCGGACAGAGACGCGGTAATTGTTGAACATCAAACACTGACATTGACAACTGAAGTAGGGTGACCACGATACTGTATGCTTGGAGACGATTATTTTCCTAAATATTAGGTAAGTGAAAAAAATATGATAAAATTAAAACGGATACATTCTTCATGAGTTCTGCAGAAAATTCATTCTGGCCATTCGCCTGATTTATTAATTAAATATTGCGCTTGCACAACACTATTAAAACTAAATTCTTTGTTAACTTACTACTTAATTCTAAAATGTTTTGAAAATCATTTGTTACTCTAGATTTTTCAAAGAGGGCTAATGTTTCGGTAAATAAAAACGATTTAATGTGAATAAAAAATCCTGTAATTTTTCAGCGTTGCACGTGGTGTTAGTACACCTCCCGCTGCGTCCGACATTAATAGCTCCCGGCCTGTTATTAATTAACTGAAGGGTTTGTCTTTATAAAGCCTCCACCGACCGCCGGCAGCGTCACCACCACACCGCGGCCCACAGCGACAATGTAGCGCCCCCGCGGAATCACATGGACGCATCGTGGTTTTACAACTTTTTTTTTGTGTTTTGTACCAAACAAATTTAGTAGGATAGAGTTTAAATAAATATACGTAAATAAGTTGTACGTAATGTCTTCTATGTTTTTTTTATAAACGATATTTGGTTTAGATTTCTTTATTATTTATTCAGACAGAATAAGAGAATATAACAACGTAATTCCTTCTTTGATAAACTCTCATAGCAATCAATAGCACAAATTATCACGTAACTTCTGAAATTAAAACATCACATAACTGGTCCTGTGCGCCGGATGTGAGCTGACCGCAGCGGGGGGTGAGAGCGGGAGGGGGCAGGGGGTCCGCTCAGAACCAATCAATGTTAGTTAATTGGCGCTTTAATGCTGCCTCATTCAACAATTACAGAGGTCGCTGTCAACTGACAGGTGAGTAGTGATGTCACATGACGTAATGTAATGTTTATCGATAAATTCGTATATCGGTAAATACTTATAAATAATTATTGTGAAATTAAACTTAAGTTTTTAGTAATAATATATCTTTTACTGTAGACAAAAATGAAGATTGAAAAAGGCCGCGTGCAGTGAATCCCCGTTGATTCTTATTCAGCCTGCGTAAAATTAGTAAATAGTAATAAAGTAAGGCACAGCGCACTGGTGAGTGCGCTGTGCCTTACTTGTGGTGTAAGTGATAAAGTGGTGACTTTAACCTGGATCCTATTCAACATAACATACAAAATGGTCAACGATATCGATATTGAACACATCACAGCCTACAAATTGTTGTATGGTCTGTGTGTATTAGCGGCCTGCCCCCGCC